TATAGAATTGTCTTTATAGAACTCATCTTGATCCATCTTAGAGGATGAATCAAGTACGAGCACCTCAATGAGTATGTAAGCCTCAATAGGCTTCGTGTTAGCTTGAGGATGGCCATAGCTTTTAATCAGTAATACCTAAATATTTAAGCAAGAATTTCAAAATAAATCTACACCTAGCAGAACAATAAATAAAAAATTCTAACTTGAAGTTGAGCTATAAATTGATAACAAAACAACTACAAAATTTAAATTTCACTACTATAAATCACAATAAAATAGGTAGAGATAAAGAGGGAGAGCTCGAAATCAAGTTTCTTAAGATACAATCTATATAAAATAGGAATCAAAATTACTATTTTTTTCTTTTGGCTCATCCTATAATGCTTAAGATTAGTATATGATCCATCCGCTCATCTCCATAGAAACACCACTCTATTGCTATTTTACGGTTAGCAAGGTTTTCATTGAGATAGGTTATTGGGTTAAAGTAAGAAATCAAGAGAGACAATGGATGAATCACAATGTCACACACACACACAGATAGAGAAAGAGATCGACATGAATATCAATATGAAAGATAAAGTTAACATAACATGCAAAAAGAAAAGAAAAAACTGTAGAGATAGAGCTCAATGAAGAGAGAACCATGAAAGTCATACCTAGTTTGGAGAGAGAGAGATAGAGAGAGAGCATACCTGTAGAGAATTGAGCTTCTTTATGAGTGAATATGCTTAAGAAGTAAGCAAGTTTTTCTCTATAACGCTCAATTAGAGCAAGTCCCCATGACCATGGCTTTCCCTTAAAGTCTCTAAACGACTTTTTTACTTGATGTTGAGGTTGCAGAGGAGAGAGAGAGTTATTTTTATTTTCGTGTAATTAGGCTTCTCCTTCTTCTCTCGCGTGTTGGTTTCTCTCTGCACTTTCTTTCCTATTCATGCTCTTTCTCTCTCCTCCAGCATGCCCTCTTCTTTCAATTTTCTCATGCTCTCTCTCTCTCTCTCTATTGTGGTAAAGTTTGAAGGGTTACCATTTGAGCCCGTGACCCTCAAAATGTGACATTTTGAGTGGCGTGATCTCAACCACCCATTTCAAATGAACAGTTGAAAAGGAGGAGAACATAGTTCTTATAAGCTGTAGGGAGAGCATAAAAAACTTTCCCATTAAAAAATACCTGATCGTCTCAATTCTCTTTTCAATCTTCTTTCCAATTTTCTTCAATTTGATTGATATTTTCTATTCCTGTCACTTTTATAGCCCATGTTATTGTCTTTTTCAATGAACTTTTGTTTGAACTATCTCTCTCCCTTTCTCTCTCCTTTGCTCTCTCTATTTTGCTTATTTCCTCTCCCTTTATGATCACGGAGTCTATCTCTCTCTCTTTCCTCCCAACCCATGCATACTTTCTTTCTCTCTCTCTTAGATGTATTTAAGAGGTACACAATCTCTCGATCTCTCGGGCATTTATTGAGTATTTATCTTCAAAAAATGTGCACTCTCTTATGCAACCTCTCTCTCTCTATCTATTTATCTTAAAAGAAAAGAACAAGATCTCACTTTATCTCTTGGATGCATTTAAGGTCTCTCTCTCTCTCTGTAGGTATTTATTTTTGTCTTAAAAAAGAACAAGAGATGTTTACAAAGAGACCATTTATCTTTTGTACATAGAGGTTACAATCATTCTTAAAATTTAAAAATGGTTGGTGGTAAGAGTGTTGTTGAATAGATACAAACTTAAAATAAAAATAAAAATCTCAGACTTAATGAGTGTGAATGATTGTAACCTCTATGTACAAAAGATTAATGGTCTCTTTGTAGACAATCATAATCTCTCTTGTACATGCAATTTTGACGCATTTAAGAAAAGATATTTGCATAAATTAAAAAATCTTAAGGATACTATCTAAATACTATTAAATTTAAAGGATATTAACATTAGTTTCCTATGATTTTAATTATTTAATTAAATAAGTTGCTCTATTACAAAATTTTAACTTATAATTAATGGTAAATTAAACTAGATTTATCAACCGAACATTTAAGAAGTTGATATTTTCAAAATCTTCTAATGAAATGAAATTATTCTAATTATAATTTTTAAAAAATATAGCCTTTTGTATGAAAATTTTCACCTTCACATAAAATATTGATATCTTTATCAAACCCCAAACATATTTGATGTTTCATGATTCAATTCAATTTTATATACTATAGAGTGCTTCTTTCAAAAAAATTATAAAATCAATAGAATATTTTATTAACGGTGTGGTTTCTATAAGGTTACAACCTTAATAATCTTTTTCCTTTTATTAATAATATGGATTTTACAAGCTCAAAATGTTATATGATTATTTAGTTTAAATACATGGGTAAATAATACAAGTTTGATAAGACAGTAAAGAGGGATGGCATTTGGTGACAACACCCCTATTTAATGCTTCCCATTCAAGTGAGAAGGGGTGAAGCTTGATTTTTTAATATGGTACCGAGGGATCATACTGTATATTTATGCTTTTAAGTAAAAGACTTGTTAAGCAATATTTTTAATTTGAAATCAACAAATCTCTATTTTATGGAGATTTATGCTAAGTTGAGAATGTTAGATCCTCAAAACTATAATTCTTTAATATATCTTGCATAGTGTTTTCCCTAAAATAGTATATTCATGTGGGGGCATTTCCATTAACTTGTTACATGGCCATAATAATAATAACTATATAATATACATAATATTTTGGAGAAATTATGACTATTACCCGAACTGTACCAAGGCTTGTGGTCTTTTATATATAATAGCTAATATTATATGTATGTATGTAGTATGTATGTATGTTTGTATTGTTTTATTAGGTATTTTAGTAAATCACAACTCATAAACCACCATTTTATTTTTGTAATTTTAAATATTTTTGAATTGCCAATTTCGGATTGATATGGATCGATGATCTATCGATTTGGTATTGAATTGGTGGGTAGATCATCCACTCCAACAGTCCATTTTTTAAAGGACTAATTCAGAAGAATGTAGTAGTGTTGGCACTAAGGACTACAGTAAAAAAAAACCATAACCTAATGGAGCAAAGGAAAAGTATTTCATACATCAAGGACCATAAACCTATAAACCCTCATTTATTATTGTAGAATTTTTTTAACATTATTCAAATCGTCGATTCCGGCTGATCCAGATTAATGATCAAAGGATTGGACTCATAATGGATGGAAGGATGATCCACTCCACCGATCAGTTTTTCTAAACACTAGTTCAAAATAATGTAGTAGTGCAAGGATAAAGGACTACAGTAAGAAATCATAATTCAATAGAGCAAAGGAAGAGTATTTCATAGGACCCAGTTCCACATAAACGTCCCCTTATGCATCAAATATCCATCTTAAAGATGGAAGTGGAGAAATGGTGGTTCACAAAAACCTAAAATGAATGATATTAAAAATATATGAGATTTTTTTTTTAATTTACTTTTCTCTTTTAATGTCCACCATAGGTGAGATTTCTAGTTCTAAATTTTTTTTATTCAAAATCTATCTTGGAAAAAGAATTGGCAAAGTATATAATGTGACTATTTATCTTTGATATAAGGTGTTCACAAGTGATCTTGATCATCGGATGTAAAATTGGGTCGCTGTATTTATTTAATTGACTAAGCTCAAAGTTCAAAAGAAATTATCTCGAACTTTGTGATGCACCCACGTTGTCAGATTTCACTTCAAATGGTTGTAAGTAATTGTGACCTTCCGGTACAAAAGGTAAATGGTTTCATTATATACAATCCCCAATTGTTTTTGGCACAAGGATAGTTTATATAGAGCCGAGGTTCTAAACAATCAAATTAGAGCAAACCTAAAAAATTTCACTAGATGAGGTTGTTTTGATGCCCAAATATCCTCAAATTGATCATCTCAACATCAAGATGCATAGACATAAGAAAAAAATGGATTTCAAGTTTCGAAATAGTACATTTTGTTGTAATGCATTTTTGGACCATCAATTTTCAAGATTTTCAATTGTTTATAGATCTGCTCGATCTACAATATTTTTGAAGCTTTAAATTAGAAAAATTACATAAATGTCTGTTTTAGTTTCCGTTATTATCAAAATACCAAATACTTTCAGTTATTACTGATATATCCGTTTTTTAGAATTCATAATAAATTTTTTACAAAAGATGAAACTACTCATTTTTAGTTTTTCAAAAACCAAAATCCGACCAATTTCAGTTTTTGAAAAACCGAAAAATGTTTTCTCTCTCTTGTGCGTATTCTCTCTACCTCTCTAAAGTCATAGTTATCTGATAAAATCAGAGGGGAACAACTAGCTTGAGCCCCTAAATTTAGAAAAAATCACAGGGATTATAAAATTAGAAGATTAGGAAAAATCTTGTGGTGTATTCTCTCTCTACCTCACTTGTGGCGTATTCTCTCCCTACCCCTTTGAAGTCATCAGATGATAATGAAAAGCTGATGATCCAGCCCATGATGCCCTACCTTCAAGAAGAGATCTTCGTCAATTTAAGCTCTTCGAGCTATGGGCATATCCAAAGTAGGCCCAATTCCTCTACGTGAAACCCAAAAAACAAGCTGGGTGAAGAGAGAGTTAAAAGAAAAAAACATTTTTACCAGTGTAATGTAGAGAGAATAAGAAGACTTACCCGAGAGAGAAAGACAATTTTGATTCTTCAAAAACCAAAAATTTTAAATGGTTGGTTATTAAAAAATCGTTTGATTTTGATGTTTGAAAAAGCAAAAATAAGTAGTTTTGTTTTTTTTTTTTAATTATTATAAAATCTAAAAAACGGATATATCAATAATAACATAGAGTATTCGGTATTTTGATAATAACGAAAACTAAAAAAAATATTTACCTAATTTTCCCTTTAAAATTTATTTTAAGAGTGTCTTAAAGATTTCGAGCATTGAAACCATATTTGTCGACACCATTTGAAGGTGCGCTCCCAGCTCCATACAAAATGCACCCTTCATGTAAATAGGGGAGTGAGCAGGGTCATCGGAACCTTCCCTTGGTGTAAAAGTAAAACTGCAACGCGTTGGGTCATCACCTTCCACTTCATCGATGGTGATTCAGGGAGTAGGACCCACCAGTTGGCGTCTTGTCTAGTTCGAGTGGGTCGCACCCTAATCCAACAACGAAGAAAAATAGATTGAATAACTAGAAATCTTATTTGTCATCTGCAAATTTCCCGAGGAAGATTGAACCATGCTGCCTGTGATTTTACGATCAGAAAAACTCTGAAATAAATAAATAGTGGTTTCCTTCCATGGCAGAGTGCCGGCCATCGGATCACCTGTAACTCAGAGGACCCTCTTCACTCACATTTGAAGCAAGTTTTCGTTTAGAATTAACAAAAGGTCAGTTCCAAACTGGGAAACGTCAACAATTTATGGGTTTTATTTATTTTCTCTTATTTTCAGCTTCTTTTGGATTGTTCTGTGTGTTTTTCTGATTGGTTATTCCGAACACAATCCGTGGCAGAAATGGGGAAGGTTGTTTTGTGGTTAGAAATAGTCGTTCTGGCCTCTTTTTTTGGAGTGTTAATCTCAGAGAATTTCTTCGAGCCTTTCAATGTGACCTACGATCACAGGGCTCTCATAATTAATGGGAAGCGTAGGATGCTAGTATCAGCTGGATTACATTATCCTCGAGCAACACCTGAGGTACAATTATGCTTTGATGCTTGTTTATCCCAGCTAAATTTAATAGATTTTTTTTTAATATCTGTTCTCTTCTGATTTTGTGTCCTCTTGACCTTATTTGGACATTCTTTTTTTTCTGTACTTAAAACCTTATTTTTATTTTTTTGGCATATGGATTGGTTGAATTTGATGGTCTCTGATTGATTAGTTGGGTGATTTTGTTATGGAAATTTCAGATAATCCATATAATAATATTAAAACACTCAAAGAGGCAAAAGGAAGACTTGTGTACAATGACACCATTCACACACATACAACATGACGGTAACTTACATAGCAGGCAGGCGAAACAAACTTGCATGGTAAGATAGTGTACAAAGTGTAAAGCATAACCTCACCGTCTATAGTATTATATAATACACCCACTATATATGATACCATCTTGTGCACTACTACATAAGAAATGATGCACTATAAATAAGACAAGATCTGTCAATGGGATAGTCATATCGAGCCTGGGTCGTCACCTTAGTGAAAATATGAAGCTTAAGTTGTGAGGTAACATGTGGGAGTGTGAACTCTCCAACAAAAGTTTTTAACCAATATAATTGCAATCAACCTCTATGTGCTTTGTGCGCTTGGATTAGAGGCAATACGAACGACGCTCATATTATCATCATATAAAAGAATGGGAGAAGGAGGACAAATATTCAAGTTGCATAAAAGACCTCTCAACCAAGTGATGTCGCTGCAAGCTGATGAGATAGCCCTGTAGTCGACTTTTGTGGAGGTTTTGAAACAATGTATTATTTGTTACATTTTCATGATATGAAGGTGTCTCCGAGAATACACACTAATCAATGGTTGAGTGTTGAGTATTTGGTCACCCTACCTAATCGGTGTCGACATGGGCTCGTAGTTGAAGAGAAGAATTGGAAGAGAAACAATCCTCTATGACATGTACCTTTCAAAAATGGAATGATAGAATGGACAACTGAGAGGTGGATACAAAGAGCACATGCAACAAATTGGCTAATTATCTTCACTGCATGTGATATATTAGGACGAGTCATAGTGAGGCGGAGTTTGCTGCTGAGAATTTGCATGTAAATAGTGGGGTTTGGAATTTTGTCCCTATCATCTACATTCACCTCCATTGGTGCATCTACCTGTTTATCATTAGTCAGATTGGCCAACTTGATCAAATCTTTGGTGTATTGTCTTTGATGATCTGTACATCCATTAGAGGAGCAATGAATCTCTAAGCCAAGAAAGTGAGTTAGTCGATCTAAATCTTTCATCTTGAATGAGATACTAAGAAGCTCTTTCAAGCATTGTATATTGGCATGGTTGTCACCTGTGATAAGGATACCGTCAATATATAAGAGAAGAATTGTTATCCTTGAGGTAAAATGGTGGGTAAATAGCGAAATGGGGTAAATTGGTGGGTAAATAGAAAATAGTCGTGAGAGCTTTGTATAAATCCGACATCCATAATGACTTGTCAAAATTCGGCCAAACCATGCTCTTAGAGCTTTTTTCATTCCATACAAGGATTTTTTCAGACAACAAATCATAGACTTGTCATGGTTACACCTAGGGGGAATGCACATATACACGATCTCTTAGAATATCCATAAAAAATGTATTTTTCACATCCATGTGAGAGATAATCGAGTGGCGAATAATCGAGAGGGCAATTACTTTATGCACCGTGATCATTATACCTATCAGATAAAATGTTTCTTCATAGTCTATGTCATACTCGTGCTTGTAGCCTTGAGCAACTAGCTGTGCTTTATATTGCTCAATCCCTCTATTAAATCTAAACTTCATAGAGAAAATCCATTTACTTCTAACAATACAAGTGTTAGCAGGGCAAGGAGCAAGATCCTATGCATCATTCTCCAACAAGGCATTTATTTTTGCATCCATGGCCTCCTTCCAATATGGTATGTTATAGGCTTGTTGATAGGCGGAAGGAATATCAACTGAGTCAATGGAGGTAAGCAATGATCTAGGAAGTAAACAAATATATAGATGGTTAGTAGGAATATCAAATATATTAAGACAAGTAAACAAAGATCTAGGGTGTGATGGAAAACTAAAGTCATCAAGAGAAGAATCATATTGGTTGCGAGGATGAGATGTAATTGTGGAGCTTTCAGCAGAAGCAAGGTTGGGAAGAGAAGGAAGGGGGAAGAGAATCACTTAAACGTAAGGCGCAAGTGAAGGAGGCATGGATTGGTTATGTTTTCTCTGTTGTTGATGCACCAAAAGCTATGGTGGTTTATCAGTGTTACTGGAAGAAACATTATGTGAATATGAAAAATCAGGAGAGATACAAAAATTAGAATTCTAGTAAGAAAGGAGCAAAAGAGCCTGTGGATTCAGCGACAAAAGATAATAGAAGAGGCTCTCTAAAAAGACGGCATGGCGAGACCATAGTTAGCAAGTCTCTGATTAAAACATAATTTTTTTTCAAAAAATCTTTGATTTTTTGAAATCCGTTAACAACTTCGAGTTTTTCAAAATATCTTCTAAAATCGAGTTCTTTTAATGGAACCCATATAAATCTATATTTTGGAATTTTCCAAAATAATTTTTCGAAAAAAATTCTTCTTATAAATTTGTCTCCATTGATTTAATATCTTTGAATTTTTTTTTAGAGATAAGGACATTAAAAGTGGAAGTAAATTAAGAATCTTGGTTTTAAAAAAAATGCTATAAAATTTTTTTGCCAATATGTTTCTTTAAAAAAAGTGTATTAAAAAAATATATTCAATCAATATATCCCCCTGAAAAGTAATCTATCAATACAATCATATATATCAAAATGATAGGTAGAATTAGAGGAAGAATAACCCAATGAGAAATCTTTTTTTTTTTTCCCTCTAAACCCAGAGCATCATTTTATAGAGGGCCATTATACAGAGATTCAGTGACAACTAAATATTTAGGTAGCTTGGAATTTAGGGTGAGATACAATTATTAATAGATTTTCTTAAGCATTTTGTTGCTTTCTTTTTGCGTACGTAAGTTTGATTAATTTCACCTTTTTAAGTCTTTTTATTCCATTGTTGTATACATCATAGCATTTTGGATGGTCTACTATTTTACATTTTTTGTTTGTGTTTTAGTTAGTGGCAATCCTATATTGAGGGTTTTATTGTTTTTTTTCTTTGCACTATAATCTCATACCTTGGGTTATAGTTCTTGTTATTTGTTGATGTAATTCTTGTGTTTAAAATTGTTCCTTTTTCATTGTATTGTTTTATGACAACAAAGTAACCATTGTTGTATTATTGAAAGTTTGGATAAAAATTTGTCAAGTGGTACTCCATGATACTAGATAAAGACATAAAATCATTGTTCAATGGCTTTAATGTATCGATGCAATAATTGCAAATCTTCATTATCATAATCCAAGCTTTATCCCAACTGTTTGGCTATACGAATCTTGTTACGTCATTCCGCTCTATGAAGGGCCGTAGCCTTAGTTAGACCATAATTTACCATAGCCCTTCTGCTTCTTCCATCCATGTCCTTTTGGGCCTTCCTTTACCCTATTGGAGTCTTCCACTTGAAGCACATCGTTCCTTCTAATTGGTGTTGTTCTAGATGATGCTGTATGTGGCTAGACCACTAAATACTTATCATCATCTTATTACCTATTGGAGCTACCCTTGAATTCTCTTTGATTATATATTCCGTGCTTTATCCTTTTTAATCTTGCACTTATCCATCTCAACATCTTCATCTCATCTACGCTCATTCTGTAGATATGTTGTTTCTTGACTGTCGAACATTCCGTCCCATAGATTATGGTGTTTTTACAGTCGTCCTATTGAACTTCCCATTCAGTTTCATTAGTATGCAACAATCACATTAGATGTCAAAGTTCGGAAGCACATTTCTACTTCATCCACTCAGCTCTAATTGTATGTGCGATATCTTTATCAATCTCTCAATTTTTATGGATTATCGACCCAATGAATTGAAAATAATCTTTCGTGTAATTCTTGGCCATCAATCTTAATTAATTCCTCATTCTACTACTATGACTAGACTTGCATTCCATTTATTTTCATGATATTTTATTATATCTTCTATACACATCCAATTTTTCCACTATGTTCTTTTGAGCCAAATCCAAAATATTCACGATTCTCCAACTTACCTAATTTTTAGTGATCTGTATTGGTGACCTGATTTTTTGCCTCCAATATTTTGGAACAAAACCGATATATTACCAATGTTATGGTTTGCCTATATATTGATATTGTCCGACCTGCTAGCTATGGATCAAGTTAGCAGTTAACTTTGAAACTAAGTGAACGTTGGTAAATGAAGGGTGCACCATGGGGGACACAAAGTGAGAGATTATCAATACTAATAATTTATAGTGTGTCCCATTAGTTGTGAAGAATCTAACTATTACCTAGGTATGGTAGACTTGTGTGCACTTTGGTCATGTGTTTAGAGACTAAAGGGGATTCATAGTAGGGGATAGTTGATAGTCCTTACTAGCCAAGCCCATGACAGAGAATGCAGAAGAATAACTGTATACACAAAGTTTAATACCAATTGTTGAATATTATTTGATTTTTGTTTTGAGGTATAAACAATGTTTGATGGAGTGACCTCTAATCTTGTATCCACCATCAATCTCTGAGATGTATCATTGGCAGCCTGCTATACCATAAAAGTAGGTTTCCTCGGATCTGACGAGTGGTTGCTTCACTAAAGTGGCTATGCCATTTTGTTATACTGTGTCCAAGGCATTTGCAATAAACACAATTTTTTCTGCTTACAATGGATGAGATATGACAATATTCTATACATTCATAACGTTGCAGTGAAGATTGGTTCTTTTGTGATGGCTTCTATCTAGTGCATTGGGCCACAAAGACTAATTCTATTCCCTTTTCCTTAGTTGGTGACTATTGTTGTAATTCGTATCTCCTCACAGAGTAACTCATTGGGAATCACATCCATGTTGGGTGTGTTTTGTGATTCAATTTATTGATTTGAATGACTCATATTCTAGGCGTAATTTCATCACCCCCTTCGTCATTTATGTCCTTTAAACTTTTAATTCAGCAAGATGTAGCATTTTGTTTTTTTTGAGTAAGTAATGATAGCCTTCATACTTACATATTCATATTCTATCCACAAGTTCATAAAACCAACATAATATTCTTGGATATTCTCCTCCCCTTGTTTGAAGGTAAACATATCATACTCAACTTGGAATTACCTTATTTACCCAAAAAACTTGGAATTGCCTCACAATTGCTGATAAACCTATTCCAGATATTCCCACATTTCATTTGAAATGGGTGACCCTCGCATTGGCCTTCGGATTCTTGTATTATCAAAGCAGTGTTTTAAAAATCGACGAGTCGCAACGGACTCGCCCGAGTCGACACGGGAATCGTTCACCCCGTATCGATGCTGGTGAAAAACGTTAAATCGCTCGGTTCTAAAGATGAACCGGCGATTCTGCAGAGTACTACGTCATGAACCGGCGATTCTGTAGAGTACTACGTCACTAGTAGCGAGTTGGCGAGTTGGGCGGCGGCGAAACACCGGTCAGGATTTGCACGTGACGTACCTCACAACACACAACACGTGGTAGATTTGGGCGGAGGAGACTCTCACGCGTGGCAATTTGGGTGGCGAAACTCTCACACGGACCTTGCAGGACAAACACGCTTTTGAATCAACTTACGCGCATTTTATATGGCTCTTTCATCCCACATCCCTTCGATGTGGGACTATTCTCGTACCCCAATCCAGCATTAAGTTAAAGAGAGAGAAAGAGACAAAAGCAGAGAGAGAGCAAAATGAGAGAGATGCAAGGAAAACCCTAATCAATTAGAAGGAAGCAGTAATGGTGGCATCCACAGGCGACGTGTGGAGATCGCTTGTCAGGCAATGGCGGATTCATGTTACAAATTGCGGATCTTTAAGGCTTAGTAGAGAGGCCTCCTTTCCTCTTTATGAGAGGGCTGAGCTAACTAACTCAGATCTGATCTCAAGATTCTAATTTCTGTGTAAACTAACTCAAATCTGATCTCAAGGTACTAATTTCTCTATAAATTTCTCTTTTTTGGATAATTTTAGTGTCGATCTGTTATGTATTTGACTTGCATTGTTTAGATGGATGCCTTCTCCGTCTCTGAGTTGGTACATTATTGAAAGTTAGGCTTTATATTTCATTTTACTTGGTGACCTTTTTCTTTAATTTTTTTTTTCTTTTTTCTCTTTTACGAGGGGTTTTAGGTTTCCTGAGTTGCTTTAGGAGTCAGGTTTTGTTTCTTCTTGAAAATTAAGTGGGCACTAGATTTTTGGATCCATTTATGAGCACAATATATTTTTTTGCCATGTTGATTTTTGCATTTTTTTATGGGTTTTTGGTTGAACTTGAATTTTTGCAAGAAGTTAATGGTGTCAATTGTTGGTAGAATATGACATTATTATGTTATTCTTCTTAAATGCTTGTTCAAATTTTTTTTTTTGGAATTCTTTTGCTTCTCCTTTGGTTTATTTTCCATTGCTCAACAGACGAAGTCCATTAATATTTTGGGATATTCATCATTTGGTGAGAGTTTTTGGGTCTCTCTCACTTTCGTTCTGTGATTCACATGTAGGTGTAAGTCCATTAATATTTTTGGATATTCATCATTTTGTGAGAGTGTTTGGGTCTCTCTCACTCTCTTTCTGTGATTCACATGTAGGTGTAAAGTGCAACACAAGAGCGTCCATAGTGTTCGTCAGTCCTATAATGCTATGTGCTAAGGGAAAAAAATTAAATTTACCGGGTATCAATTTTCTATGGTGCAATATCTTTGATTTTCCATTTTCTCTGTTTGTTGAGTGACTCCAGTTGTGCTGATCTTTTGTTGAAGTAACTCGGATATTTAAGCTAACGTTTCCCTCTTTTTCTTTCCTTTTATCTAGTTTCTTGGATGTGGTATATTTTGAATATGTTTTTTTGCATACAGGAAAAGAACATCTCAATATTTGCATATTGATGAAAAAAATGAAAGTTAATAATGTAGTACCTCCATTTCTTATTAGATTCCTAAAAAACAACATTTATAATGAATTTTAATTATTTTTTTGGATTTTTTGTAAGGCTTAATTCGACCGATTCGGCCAATTACCGATCTGGATCGTCGATTCACTGATCCGGATAGATTTTTGAGATGCCTGATCCGGGGCACCGATCTGTTTTTTAAACCACTGCTCAAAACTATGCACACAACGATCTTAACGCTGTTTACCTGCCATTGTTGTGTTTCTTTGGAGTTGGATGGAGCAGGTTGTGATTCGATTCCATCAACATTACCCCCATAAACCCTTTTCTTATACAAAAAACCGAAAATGAAAACGTCAACCGAGATAGTTTTTCCTATCAACTTTTGCAGCCAACACCTCACACTTCTCAGAAGCTATGTCCAATCTATGTGAGAACCCTTAATGGGATCAAGACTTAGATTGAATCAAAAGAAAACCCAAAAGAGATATGATATCAAACCTTGATGAAAAGACTTGATTTGAGATTCAAAACTCAGATTTGGAAATTATCAGCCAAATTTTTTTATGGATTGCCAGAAATCAACCCACAAGAGGTCAGATCTGAGACTTTATGAAGAGATAAACCAGAAATTTGCCAACAAGAGATCCCTTAAAGACTACTAGAAAATCACCTTGTTTCTGTGGTGGTTTTGGCAAGGAGAGGGATTGTGGTTCGGGTAGAGAATCTGATCTCTCAAAACCTTCGTTCTGATACCATGTAAGACACTCAAAGAGGCAAAAGGAAAACTTGTGTCCATTTACTATTCACAACATTTGTATATACAACATGAGGGTAACTTGCATAGCAAAGTAGGCTACATAAACTTGCATAGCAATATAGGGTACAAAGTGTAACATAACCTCACCTTCTATGCTATTACATATTGCACCTACTATATATGATATGATGTGCTACACTGTCTATAAAAGATTTGATACACTATAAATAATAAAAGATCTTCAACATTCTCTACAGTTGTTTTTTCTGATGCAATCTAATGTTTTCATACGTTGGGTTTAAAACAATCTATCATTTGATTACGTGTTTATGATTTCTCCATTTTGCATAGTTTGTGGATGGATTGATCAATGTTCATTATAAAAAATCTACAGTTCGCCTTTTATTTTCCCTTTTTTGACATGTTGAGAGGTATATATTGTAGGTAGGACTGAGACCCGCAATGCCACTTTGTGACTCTGCCACCTCGACCACCCAGGCCTTGGGCACATTCCTAGGATGTTGGTAGTAGGGAATACAGTTTTGTTTACGTGGTAATGGGATACATGTCAAAGATAATCTATCAAGTCAAATAAAATAAAATAAAATAAAAAAGATGGTAATAAAAGAGCACTGGTAAGTGATGAATACACCCTTACTTCATCTTATTAGGCATTGAATTGAGTGATTTATGCAAACATAATTTTTTTGAAATGAATACTCATTAGTTGACAACGGGATGCCTTTTCAGAGGATAGTCGTGAGAACAAACAGCAGGAGTGAGTCTTTGTAGTTCAAACTTATGGGATTGATCCAGTAGAGAGTCATTGGCATGGAGGGCACATATTGGAGAAAACAAAGTTAAATAATAATCCAAAACCTTTATTCTGCACAGAGTGAAAAGATCTGATAGTTCTTTTGCTTAGTGTACAACCTTTACAAGCCTTCGTATGACTATCATCAAGAAAAAGGGGCCTGAATCAACCTTTGCATTTGTAATTGGGAGGATAATTCATTTTCCTCAAAGATTGTTTGTGCTGATTTTTTTCCAGAAGATTCATGGGCTTGCTGCCTATTCTAGTTTTGTTTTTAAGATATCGAGTCAAGATCCTCTATTCCATCTATCTAGCGTCATTATTCTGTCTTCGGGATAAGGTGGCATTGTGAAACTGATCTATATGTATCATGGAATCCTGGAACTGCTATTTTAGGGCCAGGTTCCCACTTAAGTACAAGAATTGTGAAGCTACGTCCTGTCCTTTTTTTCTGTGACTGGTCAATTACTTTATTCTCTTCTTTGCCTTTAGAACAATTTTTTGTTGTTTCTATTACTAGATATTCTTTGGACTAACAGAATCAAGTATTACACTTCTGTTTTTGTTAAGTATGGTATTTGCATTCAAGTTGATCATTCTTCTGTTTTTTACTTTATTTTCTCGATAATAAGCATGTGGTCACTTTTTCTACATCGTATCTTACACTTCCCAATAAACCAGATGTGGCCAAATTTGATTGCCAAGAGCAAAGAAGGTGGGGCAGATGTGATTCAGACTTACACATTTTGGAATGGGCATGAGCCAATCAAAGGGCAGGTATAATGTAATTTAGGCAGTGGAGTTATTGATCGCAAATATTATGCTTTGTATGGTGAGTTTGAGAATTTTGAGGAGATTTACCTTCTTATTGAAGGGTATTTGCAATGATTTTTGTGTAGTTCAATTTCAAAGGAAGATATAATCTTGTCAAGTTTGTGAAGCTGGTTGGATCAAAAGGACTTTATCTTCATCTTCGTATAGGTCCATATGTCTGTGCTGAGTGGAATTTCGGGTCTCTCTCTCTCTCTCTCTCTCTCAATCGTGAGCCTTTAGATTCTTTACATCCTTCTTATACAACATCCAGGATGTCTAAATGCTTTGGAGTTGATGTACTATGTGGTAGTTTAGTAGTTCTGTTCATTTCTACATGTGTTATGTGATGTTTTTCTTTTCCTGTAGCACATATCTTTTCTTATATATGCTAGCTTGTTCCCTGACTGGGGAAGTTCACGTTAAATACTTTCATTACTCAATTTCTAGTGTAATGTGAACATTGTTGTTGAATGGTTCTTTAAGGAATTCTACGGCTTTCTTTTGAAACTTTGCATTCATTGCTTATGCATATGAAATATTTTTTATCAATGATCTGCTGAAATTTGCAAATTTTTTTGTTGTGGCGGGCTACTGGACTATTTAGAGTCCACTAGTTTTTGGCATTCTGCTGGCTGTGTGATGTATTCTGTGCCTTCAAAAGTATAGTTTTACATCCAAATTGTGGTAGTTCATTGGAAATTTGGACTGTATATCACATATCCATCATTGTGTAAAAGTCTTTTAATTCAATGTTGATTTTAATCCTCCAAAAGTACTGATTTTTGATTCACATGTGTGACATCCGAATTATTGTATCATGTGATAGGGAAGGTTTGTCCCCATATTCTTAATAGCAAAACACTTTGAATTAAAACATATCATATTTAAGCGATGTTTAAAACAGCGTTTACAACTCGAACCAGCCTGAGTCACTTGAATTGGCAGCCCGCCAGTCTGGATGACCCCAACTCGGATGACCCAAGTGTGACTGATTCTTGCTGAGTCTGATCAATTGTTACTGAGTTTGTCCAAATCTTTAAATAAAGAAGAAGAAAAAACACTGATTTCTTGATGTGGTACAAAGTCTAGGAACACTCTGAATTAACCAAAAACAACAATACAACTTGGTGCCTTAACACAAAACTCTTAGTCATACAAAGCGAATACGCAATAACAGTCCTTTAACACAATGATAAAAACATCTTAGACTTTACATACCACTGAAAATCAACTCTAGAACAGACCCCTTATGGGGCAAATTACATGCTACTCACACCAACTCGAAATTGAAACACTTATTTACACACAATGGAAGTGCACCTTCATATAATCAAATTAACATGAACTGAACTGCCCCAATAGTAACAACAGAGAATGATAACAAAACAGAGGTATTAGACTGCCAAAAATACTTGGGAGGCCAATGGTTCGAACCGCTTGTGCCCGGTCCACGATCAGGGCTTTTGAGGACTTAATCTTGTCCCAAAGATGAGTGCACGAGTGGTTTATATGACTCAAGGGTATCTATCCAATTTGGGAAGCTTAAACACTTTAAAAAATACTTCTTATGGTCTATAATCAATAACAAAATCAACCCACAACAATTTGCAAATGGAACTAGGAAGATCTGAAATTTGAGCAAGATAGAGCAAAACTATGTATCTCTGGAATTTGAAAGTTAAGGATAAGAAATGCACTAAAAAAATTCGGTTAGAGAAAATCAAAGGTAAACTATGCTTAATCAAATGATCACCAAGGTATGAAGCTTGTAATCTAATGGATGACTTCCCTATATAAGGCTTTCACAAAGATCACATGAAGCAAGGATACAAGGTTTGCAAAGCTACTGGAACAAAGAATTTACTGTAAAGTTTGAAGTGAAAGAAGATGAAGAACAATAGAGAAGATCTTGATGGAAGGTTACCTTGATGATTACTTAACATGAACTTGATATCATATAGTGAAGGATGACCTTAAAACTCCAAATATGATGAATGGAATGCTATGAAACAAGTTCTACAATGGCTGGTGCATGGAGCTCATGGAAGTTCTTGCGCTCTCTCTAGATTCCTTTTGCTTATAAAATTCGTTTTTCAAAAGATTGGGTTAAGTTTGGACCAAAAGATTGTATTTATATGAAGTGTTTGAGTGAGATTAGATCTCAACTCTTGATGGACATCATCAATGGCACATGAGAGGTCAATTATCCCTAGCCACTCATCCCCATTCACCACCAAGATGAAATGATGAGATTTGCCACTATTATCACCCACTAAAACCCTAGGTCAAAGCCACATTTACCTTATTGTCCTCAGCCCTATACTTTTATTCTAAACATGTCCAAGTGTGCTTACAAAAATGCCTTCAATATTTCTTTAATTCAAGAGTGCGGAGAATGTCTAAGGGTAAGGGGCAAAACAGTAAATGACATTATGGCATGGGAAAGGGAAAAAGGTGGGTTATGACACCACCAATGAGATCATCTCAAGCCACACCCTTCACATGCACTCTTACACCTTCACATGGGTCACACCAATGAGGTTCATCCACATGAAACATTCACATGCATTGACACCTATGTGGATATTAATTTCAACAATAATTTTTATGTCAAAAATTCCCTTGGCTTCACACAAGCCAAAGGTGTCACATGTGTGAGAAATACCCATGTGATTACAATGTGTCTTTAAGTTATACGGTTATAATATAATGTTTGAAATCAATTTAAATAAATAAGTAACAAGAGGGGGGGGTCTATGCCCAAACTAGAATGGGGGCCCAAGGTGAGGTGCCCATGGTGCCACATGGACACCCTATAGCCACTCGGGTGCCATGTGGCATCCACATGGATGTCCTTTTTTGGAATTAAGGTCAAAAAATTTTGAAAGACACATTTTTGTGCTTGAAAAAAAATTGAAAAAAATCTTAATAAATATTTGAAACATGTTTTTATATGTTTACATCATTTCTAATCATAATTAAATTTGACTGAAGGTATATGTGAGATCTTAAGGCTTTGACTTAGTAACTTGAGTATTCCATTGGGCTAGTCCCGAATGATGTTCCACCGGTGTCTTAAGTTGACCTGATGAACCTATGCTCCAAAGTCTATGGCAAAGACACAAAATTGGGCACATCAAAGTTATTGAACCAGAGCTTGCCATCGTCCAGCTTCTCAATGGATTACAGGTGTGCTTTTTGTGGGACATATGACTATTCTATTACAAGGATGATCTCAAAGCACATCTACACGGGCTCTTCCAATGTTGGATAACACATACGGAAGAGTGGCTTCCCATGTGAATGAATGTTCACATTCCATGGAATGGTCTCGTATCAAGATACAGACTCTTGTCCCTTAAGTTTTGACCATTCCACACAGGGCCTTCTCTCATCACAAGACACTCGGGTTCTTTTACATTCGATTGGTAAGTCCAAGTCCTGGCCAATCATATTAATTATGAGGCATTCTAACCTATATTGTCCTGACTCGGAGGTGACCCTCACACCTCTTAGAGAGATTACTCTCTTAAAGCGCAAACTCTCAATGCCTCATACGTACTCAGGGTATTTGAACCTGAGCCGCAGTTCGCAAAGCACCTAGATTCTATCTCTCACTCACTCCCACTGAGCGAGAGACTCACTCTCTTAACGCCTTGAAAGGTCATATTGCTAACATTGTCCCACTTGGCCTTTGAGGCTTTAATCGGATCTCGCTCTCAATATATCAAATAATAAAACAACATAATAGATCCATGCATTTGTAAGAAAGTAACACACATAAGTAAGAAATATACAACAACTGTCAACCTCCTTAACCCCATCCCATGCACATGCCTCATGATATCATTCGCCCCCAAGCCTTTAGTCATAGGATCAACGTGCATAGCCTTAGATGAAATATAACCAACTTCTACCTCACCAGCTGCAATCTCTTCTCTCACTCTATGGTATTGGGCTTTAATGTACGTTGACTTGCTATGGAACCTTAGCTCACCCGCCATGACAATTGCGGCTTGATTATCACACATGATTCTTACGGTTCCATGTTGAATAGGGTTGAAATAAAAATGATTCAAAAAGGTCTTAATCCAAATGGGTTCCAAAGGTGCAGCACACAAAGCCATATATTCAGCTTCCATAGTAGATAGGGCTATGGTGTGTTGTTTCTTGGTGCGCCAAGATATGGTGCCACCTCCATATAGAAATAGGTATCCTGATGTAGATCTAGAGTCATCCGTGTTCCCTTGATAATCAGAGTTCGTATACCCCTCACTCACACTCCCATAAGTTAACCCATAAGCAATTGTTCCTTTCAAGTATCTCATGATTCTTTTAACAGCTTTCCAATGCTCCAATCCGGGATCGCTTTGAAATCGACTTATCATACTTTGAGCAAAAGCTAGGTCGGGCCTAGTTCCCATAGTTAAATACTAGAGAACGCATGACACTCCTATATGGGACTTTTTCTATCTCTCTTCTCTCTAGATCATTACTAGGTCTCATATTGACATTCAATTTCACTCTTCTTTCCACTGGTGTATCTATGGGTTTGGATTCATGCATCTCAAATCTCTCGAGAACCTTCTTGCAATATGCTAATTGAGACAATTGTATTGTGCGGGCTGCTCTATCTCTTATAATTTGGATTCCCAATACATATGAAGCTTCTCCCATTTCTTTCATATTAAAGTTATTTGATAACATTGCCTTTGTATCTCTTATATGGTCTAAGGTACTACTAGTTATAGGAATGTCATCCACATACAAGGTTATAAAGGTGATGCCACTCTCACTGACCTTATAATACACACAATGGTCATCATCATTTGCCCTGAATCCAAATCTAATAAGGGTTTGATGGGATTTGAGGAACCATCTTCTTGAAGCGTGGTTTAGGCCATATAGGGATCTCTTAAGTTTGTATACTAGCTTCTCCTTACCTTTCACTATAAATCCCTCAGGTTGGTTCATAAAGATCTCTTCTTCGAATTCACCATTCAAGAAAGCAGTTTTCACATCCATTTGGTGTAGTTCTAAGTCAAAGTAGGCGGCTATGGATATGATTATTCTTATTGAAGCCATTTTAGCTACGGGTGAGTAGGTGTCAAAATAATCTCTACCCCTTCCTTTTGGGTAAACCCTTTTGCTACAAGTCTTGCCTTATACTTTTCAATCGGAGTTAAGTTTCGTCTTGAA